TCACTTGATAATTATGTATTATTGAATATTAATGCCTGAATGCCAACTATGAAATAAAAAAAATGCAAAATTTGTTAAGACTTTTTAAAAGACTTTTAAGTAATGATTAGCCTGGTGAGGCACAAGTAAAGCCTGGCAGCCCGCCAGGCTTATAATACCCTGTAGCTGATGAATCAGACGTTCTGGCGATAAGCAATAATTTTAATGTTTTAGATGATTTCCTGGTGATTTGATGCTGATGAATAAAACTGGAACACTTTCTCAAAGATGAATAAAATGTTAATGAACATTTATCACTGAAAACATTTTAAATATCCAGAATAAACAAAACAACAGAAAATAAAATAATTATAAAGTAACCAACTGAAAACGTTACCACCCAAGAAAAACCATAAAATCACCTAAATGATGATGTGTTTAATTGATCATGTGATTATTGGAACAGTCTCCTTCTCCTCCACAGAGTCGTCCTCCGACGGCGCCGACTTCGATACGGACAGACGGCTGGTCAAAGGGCCCAGAGGGAGGTCAAAGGTCACATTTATTTATCTGATTTTCAGCTGAGTTCAGTCTGAAAACGTTTCAATAAAACCTGCAGGGATTCAGGAGTGAAACTTAAAATGTGACCTGCAGGCAGGAAATGAGTCGCCGCCTTCCTTCCTGTTTCAGATCAATAAATATGGCAGAAAACCACAAAAAAATAAACAGACCAGAGAAAATGTCTGAATGCTTAGCTCCGCCCCTCTAACACTTTTAGAAACGTTCTGTGAAAGTGGGCGGAGCCAAGAGGTAGAGGGGCGTGGCCAGGTGTGAAGATGAGAGAAGTTCGGAGGTCAGGACAGGAGGAGCTGATGACCTGTGAACGTTTTCTGAACCTCTGTGGTTCTGTTGCAGGACGAGACCCGGTTCTACAGCGTAGATCTGGAGCGAGGGCCCACCGGCTTCGGCTTCTCTCTGCGGGGCGGCAGCGAGTACAACATGGGGCTGTACGTGCTGGGGCTGATGGACGGGGGGCCGGCGCAGAGGAGCTGCAAGATACAGGTAACACACACACAGAGAGAGAGAGAGAGAGAGAGAGAGACAGAGAGAGACAGAGAGAGAGAGAGACAGAGAGAGAGAGACAGAGAGAGAGACACAGAGAGAGAGAGACAGAGAGAGAGAGAGACACAGAGAGAGAGAGAGAGAGAGAGAGAGACACAGAGAGAGAGAGAGAGAGAGAGAGAGAGAAAGACAGAGACGCACAGAGAGAGAGAGACACACAGAGACACACAGAGACACACCAGGGGCGCGTTATAGGGGAAAAAGTGATGACGATTCTAGGGGCCCTGACCAGCAGGGGGCCCTCCACAATTTAATCATTTATGTTTTGTTCATAGACAAAATAAAAAACTTGGGTTCCTGTCAAATACAAAATGAATCATATTGTAATTTGAAAGTTTGTTTTTAGCAGTCAAAATGTAATGTTCCCCCTCCCAGACCAAAACCCCCGTCTGCGTTAAATGGTTCCTTCCTGCTTGGAGCTTCAGAGAGACGCTGTTAGCAGCAGACAGTGGGAAACATGAACGACTGTGGCTGTTTCCCTTTAACTCATGTAAAGCACTTTGAATTGCCTTGTTGCTGAAAATGTGCTATATAAATAAAATTACCTTACCTTACTCTGCTGCTAAGAAAAGTTATAAAATCAGGGTTTTAAAAAACAGAGGGAGAGAGAGAAAAAGGCAAGAGTTTTCATTTATAACCCAGTTTTTCTCCGAGAGGCGAGTAGACTGTGTGAGATTATCAACCATTTAGCATAGTTAGCTTAGCTACAAACTACTGTTTGCCTCCTTTTCACCAGCATTTAATGAATTAAGGAAAGAAATTACCAACATATTCATATATTTAACTTGTTCCCTGTACCTTTTACCACTTTACAACAGACGAGTCAGTCAGCAGCAGCTCTAACCCACGTCCCTCCTGACCCGTCCTCTCCTGTGTGAAATTAAAGCTGCAGTAACTTTTATATAAATATATTTTTCACATATTTTTTTTAAACTGTCATTATGTTGTGACAGTATGGTATGAGAGGTAATCTGAAAAATCTATTTCCTCTTCTTTCTCCCAGTGCTAGAAACAACCAGTCAGAGGCAGGAGAGTTTTAGTGCTGCCAATCACCATCTCATGTGGTGCTGCTCATCCTTCCTCCCCTCGATTTGTGCCGTGCTGCAGCTAGCATAGGACAGAGCTGTGCAGATTCAAACTGTGAATGCTCAGTTTAGTTAGCATAGCTACCAATGACCGCAGATAAACGGTTTCTTGTAATGATAAGTTGTTTCTCTCCCATTAGCACATTTAGCAGTGAGTGAATGAGGCTAATTGACAGCGCTAAGACCCTCCTCCTGGTTCTGATTGGTTGTTTTGGTCAGAACGGTGCCAGTAATTGTAATTCAGGAAGGAGATGGAGGAGATTGATTGTTTTCATAGATTATCTGTCTCATAACAAACTGCTACGACAACATGACAACTTTAACAAATATGGAGAAAACATATTTTTTTATTAAAGTTATGTACTGCAGCTTGAATAAAATGCAACTACATAGCATTTTTAGAAGTCTGGATTGCTTTATGTGTAGTTGCACGTTGCTTTTGACTGTTGCTCATGGGGAGACATTTCAGTATCTAAAACTAATAGAAAAAATTTAAGCAACCTGGATGTGGACCGTTGGATGTTCAATTCATGAGCAGTAAATATTGTCCTAATTATCAGTATTGAACCAAAGAAAGCAAAGCAGACGAAGCCTTTAAAATTGTGACGCTTTTTATGGGTCAAATAGACTCAAAAAATTGTAACGGCAGCTGGTCAGGGAGGCCCAGATTCCTGGCACACACTAACACACACTAACACACACTAACACACACTAACACACACAAGCTGGACATGAAGCCAAAGCAGCAGAGTAGCAGGAGCAAGAAATGCTGCCACCTGGTGGTCGGATTTAGCATCACTGAAATACAATGTCTGCCGGATGTTTTAGTGTGAAAGATGCAGGGATTTTAATGATCATTCAAGTTTTTGCTGTTTGAAGATTAAGTTTTAGGAAAATCTGGATTTTTACAGAGAAAGTCTGATTTATTTCATTCATGAAATAATATTTGCACCACAACTGTTAAAGGTTGTACTTGTGTGACCCAGAGGGCCGGATAAAAGGGTGATTTGAGTTTGACACATGCTCCACCTCCTCAGGTGTGTGTACCTGTGTCCTGCAGGTGTCGGACCAGCTGGTGGAGATCAACGGCGGCAGCACAGCGGGAATGACCCACAGTCAGGCGGTGGAGCAGATCCGCAGAGGAGGAAACCGGATCCACCTGGTTCTGAAGAAAGGCAACGGATACGTCCCAGATTATGGTGAGACTCCAGACTCCAGGTGAGCCTCACCTGCTGCCACCTAGTGGCCACTCTGGAGATCGCAGACATGACACGGCCTTCTTCTTCTGGTGTTTACTGGATGTTTGTTCTGTTGGATCCAGTCAGGAAGAGGAAGAGGAGGAATTGCAGCTTCCTCCTCTTCTGGGACCGTCTATCTGGGTCCAGTGGTTCTGATTCACTTGGTTCTTGTCTGAATACTGCAGACATGCTTGTGTTGAACAGAATCAGAACCAGGAATCAAGTACCTCTGAGTTTTACCCAATCAGGATCAGATGATCTAATGGCTTCTATGTTTTTATGACATTAGCCTGTTAGCTCCTGATCCTGAGCTAACAACATTATTGTCCTCTTCTTCCACCTCTTCCTCCTCCTCCTCTTCCTCGCCTTCAGTGGAGCTCTCCAGCCTCTCTCTCTGTATGACCAACTCCAGGCAGGGTGAGCCCTGCTTCTACGTGATTGGACGAACCGAGAACTCGCGGTTGGTAGCTCTGCTTCCTCCTTCCTGTCTTCATCCTTCCATCTCTTCCTCAGCATCGTCATCATCATCATCATCATGGAGTCCAGCCTCAGTCATGTGATCAGGTCACATGTTTCTGTTCAAGCTGGTTTTGGTTCTGAACGTTGTTCTGTTTGCTCCATCAGGCCCTGAGGAAGGAGCCCCCACCTCCTCCTCCTCCTCACAGGAGCAGGAGTCTGTCACCATGGCAACCGCTTCCCTCGGCAGGCGGAGGAGAGGAGGCGGTGGGGGGAGGAGGACCAGAGTTACAGGAGCTCCTGACCTGGACCTGGACCTGGTGGAGGAGGAGGCTGAGGGGGAGAGGAGGAAGATGAGGCGGAGAAGACGAGAGGAGAAGAAGAGTCAGGCGGTGAGAGAGGGGAGGAGGAGCAGGAGCTTCTCCTGGGACTCCCCGCTGCCAGAGGAGGCGCTGAGGGGGCGAAGCCACACCGTCAGCCACGCAAAGCATCATGGGAGCTCCGCTGCAGCTCCGCAGGTGGCGTTCTCCTTCCTCATGCCCATGAGCGATGACAGGCCTCCGTCTGACAGCCAATAGCCAGCCAGCTTCTTGGAGGTCAGCCAATCAGCAGCCAGCATGGCCCCTATGGAGCGATCTGATTGGAGGAGGGAGCCAGGGAGTGGGCGGGATCTCTGGCTGAAGCCAAGCCCACAGCGGCAGACTCAGGTTCTGATTGGCTGCAGGCGCAGTGGGCGGGACTTAGCAGACGAGCTGTCTCTCTGATTGGCCAGCAGTGATGTTTATGCTTCATAAGGGCTTCTGTGATTGGCCACTGAGAGAAGCCCCGCCTCCTGCTGACGCAGCCACACCTCATTACCCATCATGCCTCATCCTCAATACTCTACTCGTCTCCGCCTTGTATTGTGGTTACCGTGGCAACTGGGCCTGCTGCATGTTTGGTTGAAGTTCCTCCAGTCTGTATGCAAACGACGGCGCCCCCTGGTGGCCGTATGTCAGCATGTGAATACAACCGGAATGATTTTTTATTTTTGTAACGTGTAAATGATCCTGACATGATTATTGAAATCTGATATATTATTGATATGATTAGAGATGACAAGAACCTGCTTGCTTGTAAAAAGAGAAACTGATGATTTAACAGAGCCATAACCACACACACACACACACACACACACACACACTGATGTCAGGTCCAGCTGTTCTCCAGTGTCACCACAGCAACCATAGTGACAGGATGACTGGCAGCTCCGGATCAGAACAAGTGCCTCGTTTTGTTTCCTGTTGTCTGTCCGCCATGCTCCTCCATGATACCCACTGGCCACACACACACACACACACACACACACACACAGCTTTTCTATCAAATAAAGTCCAAGGAAACATTCTGCAATGTGTCTGTTCGTCATTAAACGGTTAAATCTTGACGCTGATCAGTGACTGCAGCTTTAGCAACCACTCTGAAAGGTCTGCTGCCATGGCAACAATGTCTTTAAAGGGCCAGCAGCAGAATGTAAAGGTAAAGCTACCAGGCTGTTAAAACATTAGCTTTCAATCTCATTAAAATGAGATAATATTCAGCATCTTTTGATAGTTGATGTAATCTGAAACTGCCTTGATAAAAGCTTTACACACAACTCTTATTAGGAAGATCTTTTTCAAAATTTGGAGTCCAGAGGGCCACAAAAATAATTACGGTGAGTCAAATCGAGTTTGATGTCATGTGAACAAATAACAGTTTCGCCCCTTAACTCACGTGAATCGTTAATCTAACCTGAGAGAACGGGAAACTTCAAAAATCTGTTTCTGCTTTAATTTCTTCAGTATCACAGAACCACCAGAAGAGGGCAGCAGGATCCCTGATGGGGCCCTGATGGATCCCTGATGGGGCCCTGGCAGAGATCCACTCCGCTTCAGGAAGCAAAGACAGCACACCGGCGCGTTTCTGAAAAACCCTTTATAAACGTATCAAAAGTAGAAAAATCTCTTTAGGACCAACAGAAACATTCAGAGGGAAACAGCAGTCCTGGACCGGATCGGACCGGACCGGACTCGGTTCTGATGAACTGTTCAGTAGTAAACACCTGAGGTAGAAACATTCGGAGCTGCTGGACTCCATTACCCAGAAGCCCCAGCCCAACATGGTGAGGCACTTTAACAACACTGGAACTCCTCCACCATGCCTCAATCTTCATCTTCACCCTCCTCTTCCTCTTCCTCCTCCTCCAGCAGGCACGGCAGGCAGGTGTGGAAGGGCGGAGCCACCAGCAGGTGGCAGTCTGCGGAGCGGAGCGGCAGCCGACGGGACGCCGCCTGAACCCTGCAGCCCCGGCAGACGGCGAGTCGCTCCAGATGCAGCAGCAGAGACACCAGCTGAGAGAGACACACACACACACACACACACTACTGTTAGCATCATCACATTCTGCGGCTAACAGAGTGACCCCTGACCCCAGGTAAAGCAGCTGCTCTGGTTGCTTAACAGCTTTGTGCTATGCTGCCCCCTAGTGGCACATTAGCGTTCAGGTGGAGACATTCTGTTTATATGAAGACCGGCACCGGGCCTGAATGACCAGAGGAGGCGCTGTTCAGCCACTACCAGAACCCTTCGATACCAGCCTGCAGGTGCTGGTTCTGCTGCAGAAACTCTCTGGATGCTCAGGTTTGAGGTTTTCCTCAGATCGGCTGTTTAACAGTTAAAAACCGGATTGGAGTCAACGCCAAGGTCACATTAACAAGAAACGTCACAGACATGACCGGACGGCCGTCACGTACGAAAGGGTCCAGTATGAGTTGCTGTAGCCCAGGGGTGCTCAATACATCGATCGATCGATCGGAAAGGTTCTGAGTCGATCTCAGCAGGTGACAATCTGATCGCCACCAGGAAGCTGAGAGCAGCACTTCCTCTTCTGACGGGCTTATCAAAAATATTCACCAAGATCCTAAACGTTTGTAGCTTCATTAAAAAAGAATAATTATAAAAAGTCAACGAAACATGTTAAAATTAATAATCTCAGTAATTATTGTTTCAACAAGGTGTTGCGCAATTCAGTGCGTTTCGGTCCCATTAACAGAAAAAAAAAAAAGAAAAAAGCGACTCAAAGACCGACTGAGAGCAGAGCAGGAGTTTAAATTAGCTACTCGACCACCACTGTGTCCATGAGAGGCTTATTAATAATCGAGAAATAAATATCAAGCCTGGAAACCTGATATGTAACGGACTGAATGTTGTGTTTTTAAAGTAATCTCTGCTCGGCGTGCGGGCGCAGGCGGTTGCCACGGCAACAGGTGGCTCAAACGACAAAGAGACAGAAAGTAAAAAGGTAGGAGTGGTTTAGAGTTGATCGTCTGTTCGGGTTGTTTGTCTAACGTTGCTGTGGCTCATCAATCACACCTGCTGCAGT